GAAAGCAAGTTTATTTAGAGAGATACACACTCCATAGGCAGAATGTGGGCCATCTCAGAAAGGTGAGAGGGAGAGAGGCCGAGAGGTGTGGGGGTGTTTAGGTAAAAGTAGATACTCCATAGACAGAGTGTGGGCCGTCTCAGAAGGCAAGAGAGAGAGCGACCTTAAAATATATTCTTAATTCTCTTGGTTCATAACAAAGTCCGTGCAGAAGAAATCTAAAAGAGAGTGTTTCAGGAGCGTTATTGTTGGAAACCCTTCTTGGAGAAGACAAAATAATTCAGGATGAGTGTATCCAGAGGTACAGGGTCAGAGAAAAGAAAGGACAATTGAGGCAGTAGAGGGCCAGGATGGAACGGGGGAAATCAGTAGTGTACAGACTGAAAGTAATTAAGCCTGAGAAGTTCCACAGTGGTTGCTAGAGGCAGGGACACGTGTGGCATGAGTCAGGGATCCCTGTATTTTGGAATTGCGAGGGAATTGGACGCTTCTGAATACCGTGGGTTAATTAGCAAACAAAGCTCATTTGTTTTTTCACAGTCAGATCTCTAAATTGAAGGTATTTGTATCCTCTTTACCACCAACAATAGTCTTAGCCCTCTGGCTGCGGGGAGAGCTACCCATTCTCACTTTTAGAGCACACCGTATGTTTCTTTTGGTTGTCCTGGGGGCTAGTTCCAGGTGAGGGATTGGGGCTTCATGGCAAATGAGTATGAAGACTGTGAACAGCTAGAGTCTCATGGCTTTTTCCTTCTTCCTCAGTTTGACCTTCTGTTGCTTGGACTGTGTGTGAGCGAAAAACCAGAAGACAGTTGCCAGCTGAACTAGTTACAATGGACTCACAGGTGAAAAGGGAATTACTCTTTCTACTGAAATTGCGTCTCTGTTACCAGCACATGGGCTTATTTCTACTGTAGGCAAATATGTTCTAAGTGCACTCAGGAGACTTTTCAAAGCTCTGAACTAAAGCTGTTCCCCCAGAACTCCGGAAAGCTCATGTTGGGTCAGGGACTCCTCAAGTGGCCGTCTCCTTCCCAGCATTAGACTCAGATGGTCTAGTCTCTGTCGATGCTGCATATTCATAGAAGGGGTGAGAGGGGGTTTCTTTTTCTCATCCAGCCCATGGCTTAGTTGGCAAAAAAGTTTTAGTTATTAACCATTTTATTAAGTGTAATGGGCTTATGATTGAGGTGAATATAGATGATAACCATAAGTAAGGAGCAAAACATCACAGCCCAATGGAGCAGATGTTTCCACGGGTGAGACCAGTCAGTCCGGTGTTACAGATGCTGCAGGGAGTGCTGATTAGTGTTGAGGGAAGACGAATGATGGTTATGCCAGAGAAGGCAATGAGGAGTCATTCCATTGTTTTTTAAATTTTCAACCTCTTAAAGTTTTAATAGAATGTATTTGTGCTTTTTGAAAACTTCTAAAAAAGAAAACTAAAATCCTCATTACTACATATGTCCTGAATCATACATTTTCCCCCTTTGTGTAATTTTCTCTTTATTAAAATTTCACAACTGGAAACAATATTTAGGGAGTAGTGTTTTCTTAATTTGGGCTGTGATTCAGGAGAAGGAATATAGGAGGCAGAGTAAAAGTTTAAGCCCTGAGGAATTTTTTGATTAACTGAAGAGGCCAGAATTATCACGTGGCTTCAGGTGTGCTTGAATAGAGAGACAGGATGAGGAAACAAAAGGCAATTTTCTTTATACCCAAATAAGTGATATTTGGAAGTCCACGAATAAGGGGAGGCTTCAGACTGTAGGAACGGTCAGAATCAGAGTGTCCTCAGTATGGAAGTCTCAGAGCCTCTGGCTTGAGCTGCTGAACTACTTATCCTTTGTAACGAACACCTCAGTTTTGTACAGATGAACGACTATACCTGCTGACCTCAAGATCTGTGTGAATTCTAGTCAGTTATGCAGAATCTGGACGTTGCTTCAATATTCTCTGCCATTTAGTGAATAAAAAACCTACAAGTTATATTTAGGAAATATTTGTTAGATAGTTAGCACTTTACATAGCTCAGTAGATCTTTCAGAACTCATAACAGATTATTACACAGTTTCATTGATGAAGAAACTGAGGTCAAAAGGGCTTAGTCATGCTAACCATAGTCATGCTTTTAAAGTGGCAGATCATGGATACCTCATCCCTTGTGATGAGTCTTTAGATTTACTTGAAGTTGGTTGAGAAGACTTTTATGATAAGTTTTCAAGTGAAAATTTAATAATCATGATATGGAAGTCATGTTTACAGATTTATTGGGAAATCTCCAGGTTATATTACACCATACCTCATATGTTATCTCTCTTTTTTTTTTAATTGAAGTATAGTCAGTTTACTTGTTGTGTCAATTTCTGGTGTACAGCACAATTCCTCAGCCATACATGAATATACATATATTCATTTTCACATTCTTTTTCACCATGAGCTTCTACAAGACATTGAATATATTTCCCTGTGCTGTACAGTATAAACTTGTTTATCTGTTTTATGTATACCAGTCAGTATCTGCAAATCTTGAACTCGCAGTCTAACCCTTCCCACCCTCCTCCCCACTGGCAACCACAAATCTGTATTCTATGTCTGTGAGTCTGTCCCTGTTCTATATATAAGTTCATTTGTCTTTTTTTTTTTAATTCCACATATGAGTGATATTATATGTATTGTTCCTTCTCTTTCTGGCTAACTTCACTTAAAATGACATTCACCAGGGCCATCGATGTTGGCCATCCTGCAAATGGCATTATTTTATCATTTTTTATGGCTTTATAATGAAGTTCTATGTATTTAGAGTATGTCTCTGTAGGTATATCTGAAAGTAAAATGTCCATGTCAACACTAAGAGTGATGTGATTGGACCCAGAATAATGTTTGAGATTTCTGTACTCTCAACCCCCACTTCCTTAGTGCTTGTCACTTGTAACATCCTCCTCAGCAGAGATGGTCCTGTCTGAAACAACGTCCATAATGTTTTAGGAATCAGTGACCTTCGAGGATGTAGCTGTGGACTTCACCCAGGAAGAGTGGGCCCTACTGGACACATCCCAGAGAAAACTATTCAGAGATGTGATGCTAGAGAACATCAGTCATCTGGTCTCAGTTGGTGAGTCCCTTACTGTTTCTTTTGTATGTATTCATTCATTTATCAAATGTGTAGAAAAGTTTTCCTATTTCTCACTCCAAACTCTGTCTCGATTTTTTCATGCTCTCACAACTACCTTATAGCAATTTTTCCTTACTTCTTACTTATAATTAGTTTATCAATCCCACTACAATGTAATCTTCCTGACACAATTTCATGTCTTTCTTGCTACTCAATCTCTAACCCTCAAACAATAGTGAGAACTCACTATTTTTGTGTGGGTAAGTAAATGGATTGATTTTTTTTAAATTATTTTATGGCAAGGACTGTGGTTTGATCAGATTACAGTGTTAAGAATAATAGATGTATTGTTTTTCACATAGAACCTAGATGTTTCTGGTGGATGTTGTATTCATTGAATTCTTTTTGGATATAATATTAAAACACTGTGAAAACTTACATTTTGACAATAAATGAAAATATTGGAGATTCCGCAGTCTGTCTTTGGGGCATGGGCATCAGCAATGATAGGTCATTAATGTCTTTGGGACCAAGTTCAAGAGCTGTCATTTTGCAAGTCAAAGATCATACATGTTATTTCAACATACTCTTTCTGTACTGAACTTTGGAGGTTATTCTTCCCCCATTAGTCTGTCCTGTACTGATGATCATGCACTGTTAGAAGCACAGAACTCAAAATCCACATATCTTTCTCCTATAATCAGGCAATCAATTCTACAAATCAGATGTGATTTCCCATTTGGAGCAAGGAGAGCAACTTTCAAGAGAAAGGTTAGATTTTCTGCAAGGCCAGAGTCCAGATGAGCTACAGGAAGCTGTGCTTCAATAGGAGGAGGTGCCTGGTCAGTGACTGAATAGGCCCTAAGAAATAGCAAGTGGAGATACCTAAGTTTAGTGATGTTTTTTAAATTTAGACAATGTCATAGGGGGGAAATTTTTTCAGATGATGTCATACCTTGGCAGGTAAAAAATTTCTATTCACATATCTTTCTGCCGTTGTCTTTGGCTTTAGGCAAGGTGAAATTTATGTACTCACTGTAGTTAAGCATTCACAAAAATTCCCTTTTCATGTTCCTATTCTATGAATAGGACCTTCTCTTTTCCTCCCCAACCTTTCATCTTTATTTTATTTTTCTCATATTTTAGTCCTGAGAATGACAGTTGTTACAGCCTACTATAATATGTTTCTTCTCCTTAGAGTATTTCATAATTTAACATTCTTTCCCATCTATGTGTCAATATTTGAAACATACACAAGTGGGCATTGGGTCTTTTCAACATTTTAGTCCTCCTAATACCACTACAGCAATTTATTTTTTTCCAGTCATTTCAGATAGAGAAGATGATCTGAAAAAACAAATGATATCCATGCAGCATATCAACAAGAAGGACGCACCTTTAATTAGGACAGTGGTGAGCTTCATGGGTGTGAATGTGTTCTTCCAAATGATGACCTGGGAACTGAACAAGTTAGGAATTTGGCATAATTACCTGATTGTAGGTAAAGTTGGGATCATGGGCTCCCACAGGAGAAAATTTTAGTTAGTTTGATTTTGGGGAAGAAACATTAAGCTGTAGTCAAAACCATAACCTGAGTTCTTATAAACAGACAATTAAGTAATCGTGGCTTATATTCCTAATCATTGAAACATAATAATGTCTTTAAAATTAAACATATATATCTGCATTTGGGATACTACGAAAGACACAATCTCTATGCTTGCAAGAGAATAAAACCCCATGTTTATGTACATAATACAGGAATAGTTTTAACTAGAGTCTGTCACTGAATGTTTACTCTTGAATTTATATGTAGAGAAGTGAATGAAGAAATGAGTAAATGTGGGCAAACCTTTAACAGTCTCTCATTTCCTTTCAAAAAGCAGAGCTCTCACACTCAAGAGGATCCTCTGGAACACAATGATTTCAGAGAAACATTTACTGAAATCTTAACATTGACTCAATATGAGATACCTCAAATGGGAAAGAAACCCTGTGTCAGCCAAGATTTTGGAAAACCCATCAATTACTTGTCATCCTTTAATCTACATAAGCAAATTCATGCTAGAAGTACATCATATGAATATCATCAACGTAGGAATGCCTTTAATCAAAGTTCTGCCCTTAGACAACACAATAATGCCACAACTGGAGAGAAAACATTTGAATGTCATGTATGTAGGAAAGCCTTCAGTAAAAGTTCTAACCTTAGACGACATGAGATGATTCACACTGGAGTGAAACCACATGGATGTCATCTTTGTGGGAAATCCTTTACTCATTGTTCTGATCTTAGAAAACATGAAAGAATTCACACTGGAGAGAAATTATATGGATGTCATCTGTGTGGGAAAGCCTTCAGTAAAAGTTATAACCTTAGGCGACATGAGATGATTCACACCAGAGAGAAACCAAATGAATGTCATCTGTGTGGGAAAGCCTTCACTTACTGTTCTGACCTTAGAAAACATGAGAGAACACACTTTGGAGAGAAACCATATGAATGTCGTCTATGTGGGAAGACATTCAGTAAAACTTCTTACCTTAGACAACATGAGAGAACTCACAATGGAGAGAAACCATATGAATGTCATCTATGTGGGAAGGCCTTCACTCATTGTTCTCACCTTAGAAAACATGAGAGAACTCACACTGGAGAAAAACCATATGAATGTCATCTATGTGGAAAAGCCTTCACTGAATCTTCTGTCCTTAGACGACATGAGAGAACTCACACTGGAGAAAAACCATATGAATGTCATCTATGTTGGAAGGCCTTCACTGATTCTTCTGTCCTTAAGCGACATGAGAGAACTCACACTGGAGAGAAACCATATGAATGTCACTTATGTGGGAAAACCTTCAATCACTCTTCTGTCCTTAGACGACATGAAAGAACTCACACTGGTGAGAAACCATATGAATGCAATATATGTGGTAAAGCTTTCAATAGAAGTTATAACTTTAGATTGCATAAGAGAATTCACACTGGAGAGAAACCATATAAATGTTATCTCTGTGGGAAAGCCTTCAGTAAATATTTTAACCTTAGACAACATGAAAGAACTCATGCTATAAAGATAATAAATGAAGAGTCACCACCCATGGCTTCAAACTATAAACACTCTTGAGGACTCACAATAAGAAATACTATGTTTTGGGTTTTTTTGTTTTTTGTATATATATATTTATTGAAGTATAGTCAGTTTAAAATGTGTCAATTTCTGGTGTACAGCATAATGCTTCAGTCATACATGAACATACATATATTCATTTTCATATTATTTTTCACCATAAGTTACTGCAAAATATTGAATATAGTCCCCTGTATTATAAAGTATGAACTTGTTATTTATCTATTTTATATATATATTGATTAGTATCTGTAAATCTCAAACTCCCAATTTATCCCTCCCCACCCCCTGCCCCCTGGTAACCATAGGTTTGTTTTCTAGGTCTGTGAGTCTGTTTCTGTTTTGTAAATAAGTTTGTATTTTTTTTTATCCCACCTGTAAGTGATATCATATGGTATTTTTCTTTTTCTGGCTTACTTCACTTAGAATGATGATCTCCAGGTCCATCCATGTTGCTGCAAATAGCATTATTATATTCTTTTTTATGGCTGAGTAGTATTCCATAGTATAAATGTACCACAACTTCTTTATCCAGTCATCTGTCGATGGACATTCAGGTTGTTTCCATGTTTTGGCTATTGTAAATAGTGCTGCTGTGAACATTGGGGTGCATGTGTCTTTTTGAATTAAGGTTCCCTCTGGATATGTACCTAGGAGTCATGCCCTTTCTTCTTGTCCTCTTCAGGTCAGGTGATGCTGAGGTTTTCATCTAAACAGAGAAGCTAAATTTCTGTATTCTGGTTTTACTTCCTTTGTGTGTGTTAGATACTTTGCTTCAAAAGATAAGAATCATTTCTGTTGACATTTCTATCCATTTGTTTCCATTTGCTTTTCTAAATTAGTTGGATTTGCTTTAATTTCATTTTCTCCCATACATTACTGGAAGAATGATTAATGCAGCCCATTAACCATTTCACCATTTTATTGCTCGTAACCAAACCAGAATTAACTTTCCAAAATTATACAGCACGTTACCATAATGATTTACTAAAACCCAGATGTATTTAAAATAGTGCCTTTCTATTGTTTCTGCTTTTTTCAATTCAGTCAAAAAAGCAGTAAGTTTCTGCTGACAGAATTGCTTGGAAAACCCAGTTGTTTATTAGGCAATTTTGAATTTATCTTCAATTTATTAGGCATTCACTGTAACCCTGCTGACTGGGCGGGCATCTGTGGCAGGTTGTCTTCATTTTTGCAACTAGTGATCCTAACCAGGAACTCAGGAGATACTCACGACTGGACTATCTGACGCTTAGAAACACTCTCATCAAATGTGTTGAAATGAGGGCTCATTGAGAAACAGGACACACCCGCCTTTGCAGTTTTCAGCTGACACAGACCCAGTGGGGCTCTCGTTGGTTCGTAAGAGTTGTTAAGCACGTGTCTTCCCAGCTCCTCATTCAGGGACGTCACATCGGCAGCTGGAAATTGTCGGTGGTGGGAGTATTTACACTACAGAAACTGGCAAACACTACAGTCAGGGCTTCTCTCCCTCCTCCGAGAGCTGGTTTACCAGCATGCACTGGACATCCCCTAGCTGGCAACACCGCCAGGATGGCTCAGAACTCGTGGTGCTTCACGGCCTGTGCCCTCACGTGACACACCTTTGGTGGTCCTTAGAGCCCTCCTCCCCGCGGGGCTGAGGAGGGTGCTAACACTACACCACGTGGCTGGTTTTCTCCCCTGGCTTCCCCAAGCCAGCGTCCAGCATCTAGTCAGTGGCCTGGCCTCCTTACCCACCTGCTGTCCAGACAGCCAGCAATGCTCAGCCTCTCCCTCTCCTCCCAGCTGCCCACTCAGCCTCCCAGGGCCCCTCTGCTCTGCTCACATCCGCCTTTCGAAGGGTTCCCTGGAAAGGCTTTGCTCATCTCACCCAGAGGTTGCAGCATTGTGCCCAGTCCCAGGAGGACACAGTCAGTCGTCCCTTCTACTAGGCAGAGGGACAGAGTCCTGATGGACAAGAGACCAGGGTGACCAAAGGTGCCTGGAAGCTGGAGATGGTCAGAGGGCCGGCCCAGCGGATGCCCAGGGATGCTGTTGTTAAAAGGCTGCAGCTACGTTAGCGACCAAGCCCGGCTCATGCTGCCGCAGAGTCAGGTGGACGTAGGGAGAGGGGTCTGGGAACTCCAGGCTCAGGCAACAGCAGACACAGAAACCCGTCTCGTGCGAGAGAAAGAAAACGACGTTTGCAGTGGGAGGCGAGGCTCCTGTCCCAGTCCTGCTGTCCAGGCACCGCTGCCTGAGTCCTGAAGGTTTGGCCGTATCTGCAATGAGGGATTGGGCTCCCTCTAGGAGTTCGCTCTGGGTTCTAACCGTCTGCCTCTAGTGGGTCCCACACAAAGCAACGTAGAAGCAGAAGAGCAGCAAGGACATAATCACACGTGATGAGCCACCTTCAGTATCACCTCTGAAGCGACCTGGAGGGCTGACCTGCTCCCATTGTTCAGGCTGTGGTTGTGTTGTTGAGGTCAAACGATTTCGGCTGGATGGTGGCCAGTCTCTCTCTCCCTTTCCATGGGGAGCTAGACTCCCCAGGCCCCATAAATTGTCAGACCCTAGTCCCTGCCTGCAGAGAGCTTATGGTCTTCATGCAAAAGTGAGATTTTTTTTTTTTAAAAAAAAGGTTGAGGGCAGTGCTGGGCTGGGATTTAAATAACTGAAATTCATTACAAGATACTGTGGTCATGTAGAGAATGGTAAAGATTACATGCACTCAGAGGGCTGGGGGCGAGGGACACTTAAAACAGGCCCCTCGGGGGCAATTTCCAGGAATGGTGGACGAGTGACTGTCAGACGAACCAATTCTCACCTAGATCCACGTCTGCCTATTTGTAGGGTCCCGGCAAGGTTGCCAACCTTTCTGGAAGCCTCGGGGCCTTGTCTTCAAGACGTGGTAATGGTAGGATTGACATCTAGGGTTATTCTGAACATAGCTGAAGCAGAGTGCTCAGCACAGAGCCTGGTGTGTAATGAGCACAAAGTCAGTGTCGGGCACTAACATCATTCCTGCTACTAGCAAGGCTTTGTTCTGTAAAGACGTGGGAGCTGACCTGAGTCTTAAGGAGTAGGGTCCTGTGGACAGGCCAATTTGGAACAGTGTGGAGATGCTCCCTTGAATTTGTGTGTAGAGTTTCGAGTCACAAGAACTGGGAGGTAATGGAGATTTACTATTTATTTTTCTAGATTGGAGTATCTGCTGTCTGGGGTTTCCCATTAGAGGAAGGTGAGCATGGCTCTAAGAGATGTTACAGAAAAGTCTGCCCTGTTAGATTCCATACTAAGTTATGAAACTATGCTTTTCACCTTTGACCTGCCAAAGTAATTTCTCTACACCTGTGACCCCCTATAAAAGTTACTAGCAATTTGTGCAACTGATGTGGCCCTTCCTTGGGTTCTTTTGAATTAAATAAAAATTTGATTGCTCTTTGACAGTTCTTACATGCATTTCCTGCCACAGTCACAGAGCACAACTCCCAGCAGCAGAGGAAGGTTTCTATGTTGTTCTGTAGTTCCTACAACTCTTAATGGGATTCTGGCTGCAGGGTAAGCACTCAACATATTTGCTAATTGTTTGATTTTTTTATTCAATATGGTGTATAAAATTTGACCAAGGATGTCAGAAAATGTTCCTCCCATAGAAAAAATATGTCTTGGTTTATGGTTTATTGAGGTTTAACATACTTATGGTAACACTGTCAGTCATATTTAAGACACCTGTAATCTCGTCCCAAATGACACCAGACTTTTCCATCACCGCAGAAGATGGCCTCTGTCCCTCCTCCAGCCCTGCAAACCCACCACTGAAGGGGTTCTGTCATCACGTGTTAGCTCCACCTGTTCTGGGACTCCCGTGAACAGAGTCATGACACGTGAACCTCTGTGCCTGCGTCCCTCACTAAGATAATAGTCTTGATAATAACCCGTGTTGTCCCACATGTCTGAGGCTCACACTTCTGCACCAGGGAGTGGTATTCACCACTTGCATAGTCCACAGTTTGTCTGCCCACTTTCTTGTATCTAGGCTGTTCCAATAAATAAAACTGCCACAAGCATTATTGCACATACTCCTTGTGGACACGTTTTCATTTATCTTTGATAAATGCCCAGGGTGGAATGTGCTGGGTCCTATGTATTAACATAAATGTATCCATAAGCCAGGTTATAGGCAGCCTAACCTTTTCCATATAGATCAGTTCACTGCCTAAAACATGCAAGAAAGACAGAGGGAAATAATGTTTGCTGAATAAATGGATACAAATATTTACACATTTAACATTCCCAATATCCTCAGAGGCAGACACCATGACCTTCACTGCAGGTGAGAAACCAAGGCCTTTTTTGTTTTTTAACTAGCAAAATACTTCTATTATTTTATAATGATAAAATAAGGACAGTAAAGATTCCTTTTTGGTGTATACCAGGGTTAAGGGAAGTAGAAGAAAAGGGGATTATCAGGATTTCTATGTGACAATACTTGCCCCAGCCTGTAAACCCCCCAGACTCTGTTTCAGCACATGGCAGGGCCACCTGGCTGTGGCATTGGACCAGGCTGAACAGAGCGGCTGCCGAGTTGGGTGAGGGGCTGTGGGGGTGCAGACTGGCTGCTCTTAGGATGAATTCTGCTGATGATACATTTTGCTGGGCAGGCAAAGAGTTCCTGAAATGGAGGGGTGAGGTGGCTGTAGGAGTCAGTGCAGTCTTCATGGCCCCTGCCCCCATTCCTACATCACATTCACCATGTGCTCCTGGCCGCCAACCTGGTTTACAACCCTAAAATTCTGTCCCAATCCCTGTTTTAAGGGTAAGGAGACCCAAGACCAAGAGGAGATTTGAAACAAATAAGCAAACACACAGATTGCCAGATGCTGGCTCCTCCCTGTGGCCTCACTTCCGCACCTGTTGGCCTGGCGGTGTCTCCGACAGAGGCGAGCTTTGGCCCCGATCCCTTCCAGATTTGTACATGCTTACGGCCCTCATCACCCTGCTTTTTAACTGTGTATTTGCCATCCTGTACTTCCTTGAACAGTGAGCTCCTGAAAATCAAGGATTTCAACCTTGCGTCCACACCACCTGCCATGGTGCCCAGCATGTGGTCTGTGTGGCATGTTCATGCTTGAGACACTAAGGTACATGCT